TCCATCCATCCATCCATCCATCTGTCCATCCATCCATCCATCATCCATCCATCCATCTGTCCATCCATCCATCCATCATCCATCCATCCATCCATCTGTCCATCCATCCATCCATCATCCATCCATCTGTCCATCCATCCATCCATCATCCATCCGTCCATCTGTCTATCCATCCGTCCATCCATCATCCATCCATCCATCCATCCATCATCCATCCAATTGCTGTTCTCCCGCCTGCTCGTTCATTCCTTTGTCATGCATCCATGCACCATGCATCCATGCATCCATCCATCTATCCACTCATTGTTCTCCTTCCTACTCATTTATTCTCCCTATTCTCCCTGCATTCATTCATACACTATCCCACAAACATGTATTAAACATGAGCAGAAGGCTCTGATGGGACGTACGATCTGGGTTTGAATTCTTTCCCACCCACCAACCATGCTGGACAAGGCCCAAGCCTCCTGCAATTTAGTTTTACTGTCTGTGCTATGACAAAATGCTCAGGGACCAAAATGCTCAGCTCAGAGCTGACTTCCCAGGAGCAAAGGCCCTCTTAAGCTATGTCATGGAAACATGGATGGAAGGGGCTGGAAGCCCAGCCAAGAGCAGCTGCAGCTGTGGGTTGGTGGCTGACAGAGCAGGTGGACTGGCTGGGTCTTCCCAGGCCAGAGCAGTCCTGCCAGTGTTCTCTCATGCCTGTGCCTGTCCCTACCCCCCAGGGGTGCACAGAGGGATGGTGGCCTTCTCCCTTCCCTTCCATGCCCTCCCTCTTGAAGCAGGGAGTCTCGAGCTTGCAGTAAGCTTTCTTATCTCCTTGGGAGGCTTGCCTCTGGTGTCCACTCAGGAGCCCTGGAAGGCAGGCCAGCTGAGAGGAAAAAACAAGGATGGCATGGTTTTCCCTCTCCGTGAGGAGAGGTGGGAGCCTGGCAGGGTGGGAGGGTGGTGGACAGGACTTGAATTCCCCAGCATATTCTTGTCCTCAGGGCTCATGGTCCTGTGGGGAGGGGAGGCAATATTGGGGTCAGAGGGTGGTATGGGCCAGATGGGGTAGTCAGATATGTGGGAATATGTGGGGTAGTGAAGAGGGTGTGGGCAGTCCCAGGACTTGGCTGGGCTGAAAGGTGGTCAAGATGGTGGGTGTTCAGGATGGTTGGGCTGGGAGTGGAGGGGAGGCATAACTCAGGAGTTGCGTCACAGATCCATAGTATGGAAGAGGGACTTAGTCCAGCCTGTATTTTAGGAAGATGCTTGCCTCAGGGGGAACTGTAAAAGTGTGAGGTGAAAAGGATCCAACGAGGACAAAGTGGCTGAGGGGACGGGGTGGGGTAGGGAGTCAGGCAAGGAAGAGGCTGTCCTGGGGGACCCTGGCTTACTGCTCCAGCCTCCAAGTGTAGTCAGTCAGCTGGGGAGAGTTGGGCTGTGACAGCATGCTGACTAGAGACCACCCCAGCCTACTTGGACCCCACAGTAGCCTCAATTTCTGCTCTGTCTCAGGAGACGATCGCAGCCTATCCAGCTCCTCTTCGGAGGCCACCCATTCGGACATCAGTGCCAGCAGCAGGCTCACTGCATGGCCAGAGCAATCCTCGTCCTCTGCCAGCACGTCGCAGGAAGGGCTGGGGCTGGTGGCTGCCCAGGGGCCAGGGGAGGCCATACTGGGAGCCTCACGGCCACCCCTCAAGCCGCTGCGGCAGCGGCAGCTGCAGGAGGTCGGCCGCCAGAGCTCCTCGGACAGTGGCATCGCCACAGGCAGTCACTCCTCCTACTCTGGCAGTTTCTCATCCTATGCTGGCAGCAGCCTGGATGTGTGGCCAGCTGGAGAAGAGTTTGGTTCACTGCTCAGCCTGCCCCCAGGGGCCAGTGGACCCGAGCCCAGACTATGTGCCTGCCCACCAGGCACAGCAGAGTATCAGGTGCCCACCTCATTGCGGCACCACTATGACACTCCTCGAAGCCTGTGGCAGGCCCCCAAAGACTCGAACCTGGCCTCCCAGGGCAGCTCTGACCTCAGTGCAGCCACAGATTTGGGTGGCCAGACGCCCACAGGGTGTCCCTCCGGCTGGCTGGGTGCAGGACAGCGGGGACAGGCGACGGAAGCCCTGGGCAGTGAGGCCATGCTGCCCAGTCCATCCCCTGGCGAGCCCTGGGAAGCAGGCAGCCCCCATGCAGGGCCACCTCCAGCTTTCTTTTCGTCATGTTCAGTCTGTGGCGGACTCAAGGTAAAGCCCCCTCCCTGAGACAGCAGACTGGCTGCTGCTGCCAAGGGCTGGATACAGCCCCTCCAATGGGAGAGGAGTGGCACTGGCCTCTTTGCAGAGGGGGTTCTCTGTGCTGTGTTTCGAGAAGCCATCAGACCTGTGCAGAGAGCCTCAAGGGCAGGGTGACAACCACAGGGCTGTTCTCCCCCATGTAGGCACTATGGCTGCCAGTGGAGGAGGCTGGGCAGGTTGGAGTCAGCAGAACCCCAGACCTAGCTTCTGGGCTGTCTCCTCACCCCACGAAGAAGGCACAGGGTTTCTGTGCCCATGGGTTCCTGCTGTACATTGCACTGAAATCCCTGTGGGCTGTGGTCAGGTTTCAGTGTCAAACCTTGTCCTGGTCCACTGCCCTCTTCCTTCATGACCAACCTTCTGTCATTCTTGGTCATCTGTGCAGTGTACAAACATACCTCCCATCCAAAATCAGATCCACTGCAGTTGCTCTGGACTCCCCAGCTCTGAGCCAGCAACTTTGCCAATGCAGCTCCCTGGGCATGTTCGATGTGTGATCAACTTTACATGTTAACCTACAGCACCCACAGGTGGGCTCGGTGTCCCATCCCACAGGGAGGAAACTGACGCTCTGGAGGCTCCATGACTTGCGGGGGTCTGTGACCTGGACCCCCTTTGCACCCTCAGACTAGCCTTCTTCTGGGCCCCTGGAGGGTTCTGGGAAGAGCTGCCTGGCAGGGGTGAGGGGAGCCCCCCAAAGGCTGAGTTGACCCAGGCTTCCGAGATTAGCCTGCCGGAGGGTCCCTTGTAAAATCTTCCAGTGGCTCTGCCCTGTGCCTCCCTGCTGGGACCAGGAAGCTGGTGGTCAGGACCAGGTGGAGGAAATCAGGACCTCGCTGGCATTTGGAGGGCTCTGGCCCTGCCCACAGGTCATCCTGGCTGTGTGGTTCCTTGCATGGAGCAGGAGCTGCTCTGCTTCCCTGTGTCAGGGTCAGTGTGGCTGTGCCCATCCCTTCTGAGTACCCCCAGCTGGCACCGTGGTATTGATCTGGCAGGCTAGCTCACCTGTAAATGCCTTGATCTGTACCTTCACTGTCAGCTGACGATGTTGCTCTCTCGAGTTTTTAAAATCTGACACTTTTGTAATACGTTCTCAGACTGGAAATAAAGTTCTCTTTTCTAACTGCCTTGCCTTCTTCCATTTGACCCACCTCCCCACCAGGCCTGCGTCTGAAACCCAGATAGCAGCTTGAGGCTGTGAGGCCTGTGAGAAAGAGGACAGGTGGCTTTGGGTGGCTCTGGGGCTGGGGCATGGAGTGTGTATGCATATAGCGTGTGTGCTATGTGTGGCGTGTGGAACCCAGGCTGCTGTCGGCAGTGGTCTCTCAGGTCAGGCACAAGGCTGGTAATATGCAGGGGTGCTTCGTCTCCCCACGCAGGGCTGGCTCTGAGTTCAGATTCATTCTCCACCAACCTGTTTGGTTTCTCCTGTGCAGAGTCCAGCTCCAGGGAGCAGCCTTTCCCTGCCTGTCTGTTTTCAGATTTATTGGGAGTTGGGGACCTGGCTCCTACCATGCTGCCCTGTACAGAAGGGCAGACTTTGGGGGTTTGGCCATATTCACTACCCAATAGCTGGGTGGCTCCGCAAGTCACTACATGTCTCCGAGCCTCAGTTTCCTCCTCCATAGATGGGTAACTGTCCCCACTTCATGGGCTGGCCTGAGGGTCTTATAAGCCCCTGTGTGAGCACCGGGAAGATGTGGACTCACAGAACAGACATTCCTCCTGCAGAGGGACCAAGGTGCAGCTCCTGGGGCTGGGAAGCCAGGGGGTGACTGGCCACAGGGTGTGGCTCTGCCCAGAGCCCTTTGTTCTGTAGTTCACTTCCGTGCTCCCGTGGGTCCTCTCTCTATGGCAGGCAGAAGAGGCATCCAGGTGGGGAGGGCTGGTAAGGTTGGCGTCCTGCTGTTGAGGTCTCTGATATATGGCCTCCATCTGAAGACTGGTCTGGTCCAGGTCCTAGGGAGATGGGGGTTGGGCTGAGGGCAAGAAGTCCTCACTCTGAGGAGCAAGGGGGCCACCCATGACATACTTGGGGAGAACGGGTCAAGGGGAAGGTCTCCAGGGAAAGGTCCTCCCAGGCCCTTCTTCTGTGTCAGCCCATCACTTAAGACACCACAGCCCCCAGCAGTCTGTGAAGGTATCTACAGCTAGGGCCTCATGTGGAGCCCAGCCATGGACTCCTCTTCATAGGGTGGGGTGGTGGGCTTCCCCTCAGGTTGAGGACATACAAAAGTAGTGGACACTGATCTTAGTCCTCACAGACAACCTACCAGTGGACCTCACCTGGTCATGCATTCTTGTTACCCTGTTGCAGTCCACCTGCAACCAGGGTCTGGAGTTGATCTTGTAGCCTTGACCCTCCCTGAGCAGGTGCTCTTTGCGAGGGCTGCTGAGGACTTGACTCTGTTCGGCGACAGAGAATTTGAGTGTCAAACACCCTTGGAGACCTATATGTGATAGAGCCTGGAGTGTCTGACTCATCCTAGGGGTGCTTGGGTCCCCAAGCTTGCATGGGGCTCTGTTATAAACGGCAGTTAGACCAGCCTGGGTTGCCAGGGGCCATCCTTATCTGTAGCCTGGGCCTGTGACCAACTCCCTCAAGGCTCACCTAGACCAGTCCAGATACCAAATCCCCCTTTCTGCCTTCCCTGCATGAGATCCCACTGCCAAGTTGGCCCCTCAGAGTCACTGGGATTCTGGGATTCTTTATGGTCACCTTTTTCTATAGGGGCTTGAGATGTTTACAGCTCTAGGCTAGTTCAGCCTCTACTTCCTCCCAGCTAGAGTAGGGGGAACAAGCCAGTGAAGTGTCCACCAGTGGCTCATTCCTCTTCCCCATCTGCCACTTCCTTTCAGATTCTGACCACACCCTAGCCAGGAAGATGATATTCTGCCATCAGGCGACTGCTTGTCTCACAGAGGGGCTCCAAGGGGTTCTCTGTAAGGCATGGGGGCAGAATGTCGGGGCCAGAGAATAAACGCTGTGGTTCCTGTGGGCCACACATGCATGCCGCTCAGCTCTCGTGTGCTACCTGGATGATAGGCAGCGGGTCTAGCTGAACCATAAGCAAGAATGGGAGGGGGGAGTGACCTGGGCATGCTTGTTTGCCAGCGTCCTCAGAACACTTCTGTCCATAGCTTTCTGAGGCCTCAGCATTCTCCTGGACTGTCATGCGGAACCATTGCCAGCTGGGTGGTCAGAGCTATGGGGAGGCGGCTCTAAGAACAAAGAGGTCTGGAAAATAAGGCACTGGCCCTCCAGGCTACAGATAGTCCACATCCCTGAATCCATGTCACTTTGGTGGTTAATAGGGGTTGCTTGCTTCTTGGGGTCTACAGGGCAAGACAAGAGGAGAGTGGGACACACACTGACCCCTGTTCTCTTTGGTCTAGGTTGTGGCTGCTTCATCCTCTGGACTCACAGTGATGTATCCAGGTAGGCACCTGACTTTGAACCCCAGTGCTCATAGTACGGGGATGAGGGAGATGGAGTCAGGGGACAACCCTGCTAAGTGGGCAGGGGTGTGGGCAGTGGGGTGACTGGCACTTGGAATGCCTGGAACAGATGAGCAGGGTAAGGCAGTCAAGGACAGGTGAATGGGTCTGGGGTGTGACTGATGTGGCCTGTTGAGGAGTAGCTTGTGGATAGCTGGATCTCCATTTAGAGTCACAGACTTGGGATGGTTGGCCCAGGTTCTAAGTGTGGACAAGGCAGAGAATGGTAAAGGGAACAATTGCCTGTGTGTGTCGGGGTCCCCAGCTTCTCAGGGCAGGGAAGACTGAGGTATGGTCAGAGGAGGTGTGGTCATCAAGGAGGGTAGGCTCTCGGCAGATGACGTCTGGAGGGTGCTGCTCCTGACATGGGGCAGCCCTTGAGGATTGGGAGAGGATGCAGGTCCTGGGTGGCTGGCCTTGGGCCCAGTGGCTGAAGACCAGGAGTATTCTGGGTCTTGTCTCCTCTGAAGTGGGTGCCATAGATTTCCGAGTTCCTTTGTACAAGGGAGTGGTGGTTTGACCCTATAGGTTCGATAGAACCCAGAGAGACCCAGGGAGACAATGGACAGTGGGGATAAAAGGCAGCAGGCAAGACTGTGAGCGAGCAGGGTCAGCACAGTGACTCGCAGGAGAGTCCCAAGCCCATTTGTCACTGGGGTTTCCTGTCTGGGATGCTCAGCGGAAATGCTAGTTCCATGTGGGGGTCTGTGGCCCAGAGCCTTGAGGCTGGCCTTGCCATGAAGTGGCAGAGGTGGACCTCCTCATGTGGGCATCTCCCTCTACTGCCACATCATTAGGACTGCCAGTATTTTATTCTGACATGGTGGGGGCCCCATCCCAGGAGCAGAAGGATGGGGATGATGTAGGAACCCCTTGAAGATAGGACCCTCTCCCTCTGAGGGAGAGGGTAGAGTCATGCGGGAGGTGGAGTCTTGAGTCTGATGAGGGACACATGAGTTGGCCCTGGGCCAAATTAGGAACAGAAATGTGCCTGGCTTACTATGGTCTAGTTGTGATTGGTCTGTGGCTGAGGCAGAAGAGAAAGGACAGGCATCTGTCATCTGCTTTGTTCTGGCAAGCATTTGGGGTTTAAAACAATGCTTACCAAAAGCTAAAATTGAATTAAAGTGCCAGGTGGGACACAGCACAGGGGGAGCCAGCCTTTCCTGACCAGTCACAGATGGACACATCCCCTCAGGCAGATAGTGAGGGTTCACCTAGAGATGAGAGTGGGGTACACATTGGAGGCAGCTCATTGAACCTGGAAAGTGCCCCTCTGGCCTTTGACTCTGGGTGTTGAGTGGTCTAGAACCTTCCATCTGTCTTCCTGCATTCAGACTTTGTGTCCTGCTTTTACCCGTCCCTCCTCAACCACCCACATGTCTAGACCATCTTGGAAAATATGAATCTAACCCCAAAACAATTACACTCAGGGAGCATGTCCAGGCCCATTGAGGCCTCGGGCCCAGCACCAGCTCCCCCTCCTTGGCCTTCAAAGGCCTTGTGCTGAGGCCTGGCCCCTTTAGCTCACCTCCGGCTCCAGTCCTCTGCCCAGCCTCCCTGCCCTGGCTCACCTACTCACATTCCCACTCCTCCTCCCCTCTGCCACACCCCTCTCCAGCCTGCCAGCACATCCTGGAAGGCCTGCTGTGTGGTCCTGCAGGACTACAAGGGCTCTTCCTCTGTCCACCACTTGGGCCTCCCAGAGGAGGTTTCTGCTTTGATGGATTCTGTGTGCTACAAGTGCAGCAGATTCACAGAAATCCCGTGCTCAGATTAGAGATTTTTCTGGGGATTGAAAATGCTGAACTGGTGTTTTCTTGCCAAGGGCTAAGGACAGGAAGGTCTGTGAGCTTAACAAGCGAGGCCACCTCCCTGATCCTGAGGTCAGTGAATGGACATCCCAGTTGGCCCTGTGTAGCAGCTGGGGTTCACTATAGCTTGGACAGTGCATGGGCCTTAAGACCCTGGCCTGGACCAAAGGTCCAGGGCACCTTGGCCTAGCCTTCTCTAGTGGGGAAACAGCTTGCCCTGGCTTGCCTGGGACTCCCCTGATTTTGACACTGGCATATAAGGATGTGATCGCTCCTGTCCAGCAGAAGCATGCCCACTTTTTCAGACAGGTCTTCCTGTAGCTCCAACTGGCCTGGCTGGCCTCGATCTCACAGAGATCCACTTGCCTCTGCCTCCTGAGTGTTGGGATTAAAAGTGTGCACTACCACCCCAGCCCAGAGCCCCCTTCTCTTGCTTTTATCCCAGGCCCACTCTTCTTACCTCAGGACCTTGGTATTCACTGTACACACAGCATGGTCACCTACTCATGGCCCTGCCTTATTTTCTGCTTTGAGTCTCAGGGAGGGGTGTGTGGGGGTGTGCAAGGGGGCAGTGGAGACCAGGGTGTAGTCCTGGAGGCCAGGTACAAGCTCCATCTGCAGTTGGAGACAGGAAGACCTGGAAGTAGGGACTGGGGTGTTCAGTGCTGCTCCGGGGAACCCTGCCTTCCTCAGGCCAGCCCATCAGCACTGAAGTAGCTCTCTTGTCTGAGCTGCTCCTCTCCTCCTGCTTCCAAGAGCACATGTTGTCCCAGGTGTCAGGAGAGGCAGGGAGGCAGGGCCATTC